TAGCTTGTAAATACGATCAAAGCACTGTGACTTCGAGTAAAAATTGGTGTGTTTACGATTTTCCCCAGTGATCATTCATTGACGCATTGCAGAGTCGTCCCTCATTATGTTTTATTTTTAATTTGCGTACATTATGGAAATTATTAACTTTAGTCACTTTTTATTCAAATGTTGTTAAGCAATAGAGCCAATATTTACTCTACGCTATAATTATTGTAAATTTACATAATTAGTTTTCTCAGTGTAGTGATAACGTGAAAAAACTTGTAAAATTTGTTTCAATGTTTGCCAAGAAAAATTTCTCGGGTCATACACATATATGTGATAAAAACTAAATTTAATGACAAGTTCACAAGTACACAAAAATAAAATTTTAACTTAATATAATAACTTAAACTTAAAAACCGGTCTTCATATGCAAAACTAACTCTGAAAAAAGAAAATTTTACATTTCTGTTTTATTACTTAAAAATTATTACAATACATAAAAATATAGCCAAATGTCAGAAAACTATTTTTAAAAGCCTTTCACAATTCTTGTAAAACACTAAAAATGTCAGAAGATTTCTCAGAATACACATCAGTGAAAAACGATCAAAACACGATTTGGATTTCAACACCCTCTATATACGTCAATGATGATTTGAATGGTGCAGAAAGATTCAGAGCTTTTTTATATCCGAAGGAAATTACGTTACCCAAGGGAAGATGCTAGTCGAGATTAACAATGCAGGCAGCTTTATTGGGCTGATTATTATTTTTAGAACTCTTTTAGAAGGTTGAACTAGCTGACTATTAATATTACACCTAAAGTGAGTCTCGCGTTAATAAGAAGATCCAAACGTAATTTTATTAATTAAAGTTTAAGCAATATCTCTTAACTTACTTGTAATAATAATGATGATAACTGCGTTGCAAACTGTTATATTTTAATACTGTTGACAGAAATTATAAATTTTATTCTTATCAGTTTAAATTATAACGTGGTTTTAACTAAGACTCGTTTTACGAATCTTGTGAGGGTTTGCAATAGTTTTATTCAGATTTTTTCTGAAATTACATATATTCAATTTGACTTAAAAAAATTATATACAAAGAAACGTTTCAAAGACAGTATTTTGAAAAAAAAATAATACTACAACATTCGTTATTAAATACTCATCAGATATCCAAAATTTTAATAGATCACCATTGAACTAAAAAATTGATCTAAACTTATTTAGAAGCCCCTTAACCAAAATCAGTTAGACAAGTCAAGTTTTTAGATAAATTAAATTTTATTTTATGATAACCCCTGTGTATTAACATAAACAGATGATTTATTCAACTGTAGGTTAATGTATATTATAAAAAAGAAAGATCAAATATCTGTTTCAAAAACAAAACATAAAGGATCCTTAAGATCCTTTCACATTCTTTAAAAATCTGGGACGGCAGACAGACAGACAGACAGACGGACTCACAGACAGACAGACAGATAGACGGAAACGGGACACCTATTTCTTCGTACTGTAGGAGCCATGGAAGGTCGAGAAAACGTAAAAGTAGAGAGTCGGCCGACGGACTTGATTACAATACTTCCTCCGCTTATGCTCGGGAAGTAAAAAAAGAGTCGAGATTTTCAAAACTATTTCTATTCTTTCAAAAATAAAAAGAAGAGGTTCTCAAAATTTTTTCTCATTCTATAAAAAAAAAAAACTTGTTTCAAAAACAAAACACGAGAGATCCCCGAGATTCTTTCACAATCTTTAAAATAAAAGGCACTAGCCCCCACCGGATTCTTACATATTCTTTAAAAATATATAGTCGGAATATAGGGTTCCTTCACATTCTTTCAAAAATAAAACACCAGGAGCCCCCATCTTTTCAAATTATTTCAAAAACAAAACAAGGATCCCCAAGATTCCTTCATTCCCATTCTTTAAAATAAAAAGTCACTAGAGACTCCCCCAGATTTTTCTCATATTAAAAAAATATGTATGTATACAAGGGGTCTCTAAGACTCTTTGAAACTATTTCAAAAATTAAATACAAGACTTCCAGAGATTCTTTCACATTTTTTAAAAAAAAGGTGCTCTGGATCGGGATTCCAGGATTCTGTAACATAAAAAAATATACACTCAATGGGTCTCTAAGACCCTTCCAAACTCTTTGAAAAACTTACACAAGGACCCTCAAAATTTTTTGACAATCTTAAAAAAAAAGATACAAAGGACATTTAAGACTCTTTCAAACTCTTTTGCTCCGGATGTCCAAGATCCTTTCACATTCCAAAAAATTATTACCTAGCACCAATAAAACTCATTCAAACGCAAAACACCAGGAATCCCCAACATTTCTTCAACTTGTTTCAAAAAGAAAACAAGGGATCCTCAAGATTCTTTCACATTCTTAAACAAAAACACATCGGATCCTCAAGATTCTTCCACATTCCTTCAAAAATAAAATACAAGGAGTTTACAAGATTCCTCCACAAAAAAAAAAACACCAAGTAGTCCCCAAGACTCTTTCAAACTCTTTGAGAAACTAACACAAGGGCTCTAAGATTTTTTCACATCCTTCAAAAAAAGACACAAAGGGTATTTACGACTTTTTCAAACTCTTTTACTCCGGATGTCCAAGATGTAAGGGATCCCTAAGATTCTTTCACATTCTTCAAAAAAATACTAGGGGCTTCTAAGACTCTTTCAAACTCTTTCAAAAACCAAACAGAAGAGCCGTCAAGACTCTTACATATTCGAAAAAGAAAGACACTTCGGATCCTCAAGATTTGTCCATATACTTTCAAAAATAAAATACAAGAACTTCTCAAAATTTTTTCACATTCTATAAAAAACACAAAAACTACAAAAGCTCTTTCAAAAATAAAACACCAAGAGCCCCCAACATCTTTTGAACTTGTTTCCAAAACAAAACACAAGTGATCCCCACGATTCTTTCGCATTCTTCAAAGTAAAAAGCAGTAGCCCCCACCAGGTTTTTTCATATTAAAAAAAATATGTACAAGGGATCCCGAAGACTCTTCTAAAATTTTTCAAAAATAAAATTATAAGGGTCCCTAAAATTCTTTCACATTCTTAATTAAAAGATCAACGGGATCCCAGGATTCTTTCACATTCTTTCAAAATTCAAACACAAGGGGTGTCCAAGATTCTTTCACAAAAAAAAAACGCAAGTGGTCCCTAAGACTGTTTCAAACTTTTTCAAAAACTAACACAAGGGCTTCAAGATTTTTTCACATTCTTCAAGATTCTTTCACATTCTTAAAAAAAAGACACTCTGGATCCCCATCACATTCTTTCAAAAATAAAATCCAAAGAGTTCTCAAGATTCCACATTCCACATGGGGTCCCCAAGATTCTTTCACATCTTTCAAAAATCGAACACAATTTTAAAATGATTCTTTTAAAATCAATGGACCAGAAGCTCCCAAGAGCTTTTCAAGTTGTTGCAAAAACAAAATTCATTGGTCCCCCAGGACTATTTCTTATTCTTTGAAAAAAGATACCAGGACCTTCAACATTTTTACATATTCTGTCAAAATATTGGTCGAAACTTATTTAAACAGAACTTCCCTTGCTCCTGAAGCACAAGCAGTTAAACAAGTCCAGTTTCTTATCTAAATCATAAAATTTGACAGCTAACAGAGCATGTCCGTATGTTCGTAATAAAATTTTGTGATGACGTTATCAGTTTTCAAGTGGGGATAATACCTAAATGTAGTAATATTAATACATATGATTGTAACACGAATATCAAAAGTATTGTGTTCGGAAAAATTAATAATCATTTTAAAATGATTCTATTAATCCACCACAGATACGGAAACACATTTTTAGAATTTACTTGGTAAAATTTCGAGATGATGTAACCAATTGTTTGGTGGGGATGGATGATGAACAGACAAATTTTAGTTAGCGTTTTATCATCTACACGTTAATCCTAAAGCACACTTAGAATTTCACAATCTGCTAAATAATTTCGAAAATTACTGGTCCAATAAAACTGCCAAGAGATCGAGAGAAACGGTGGACCTACCTTTTCAAATTTTAAAAACTTACGCTCCGAAAGTAAAAACATGTATAGTGTATAGTGCGCCAACAAGAAAAGTGATTTTACAATTTCGACTCCTCCACCAACCTTGTCAACGAATAATGCAACTTATTCGATGCAAGTTTATGACACCATCCCGACTGAAATAGCGGCTCTTTGTTGTGTTTGGCTGGCACGCTTCTCCTAAACAGGACCGGCTTACTTTACTCTTTGTTCACAGACAAGGGGCTTGTAAAGTCAAAATCATAAAACCACAATTTTCGTTGGAGCACTATAAAAAAATCTGCGAGATATTATAATAATAGCCCTTTCCTATGCAACAGTTACTGGATATTCGTGTAGGTAGCCAATAACCGCCTGTCAACACGAATATCATAATATCCCCATTACATAACGAATTAAACGCAAAACCCCCAACTACACGATTTCCTCTAGTTCCGCAGCAACAAATATCACGCATGATCCTTCAGCCCAGTCGCCCTACTCTACCTTATCGCACCTAGCCACTTTGTTCTCGTGTTTGTCGAGTAAATGTGGGTCAGCCCAGTGAAAAGGTTGAAGATCAATTAGACCCAACTCTTGCCCGAAGTTAAATCAGTGTAGGTGCTCAGACCAGACCAGTCTGACTACCACACACGATCTTTGTTAACTAAGGCCAAGGAAACGAAGGTCGTTAAACCTCTCCTTAAGAAGCAGCGTGCATAATTCAGGTGTGCTTACGATAGAGACCCCATTGAGCCTGGCCATGTCTTGGGTTAAATTTAGCCGTTGATGTCGCCAAAATTATGTCATCAGCGCGGAATTTCATTCACTTAGCGGTCTACTTATGCTGGGTTCGGTCTACGTGCAACAAATTTTGTGCAGAAGGTTCTCGGTGTACAGTGTGACTTAAGTCACCGGACGCTTAAGTCACCAAGGGTGAAGACAACGAAAACCAAAGTGCCTACCGGTGCTGTAGAGGTTGGCCAGCTCCTGGGCGCCCTTATGCTGGGGTCCCCACCTCGGCCGGGTCTTCTCCTCCTGGGTGACGGCGCAGTTGGCGTTGGGGTCGTCCTCCAGCATCGAGTTCTCCAGGATCTGCTGCTCAGTCTTGACGGGGGCCAGGATCTTGTTGGCCATGAGGTCCAGGTGCTGGTCGGCGAGGACCTCCTTGACGCGCTTCGAACAGGTCAAAGGGAGGGCCATCTCTGGAGGCGGCACGCACATGCATGTGTCACAACCCAGAACGATCACAGACAGACAGGTCGACTTTCATGTCGAGGGTCGCCAAGGAAGCGGCGCGACGTCACAGCACACTGCACGCACACGACGATGCCACAGCGCGACTGCCGCGAGTTGGAGTGAGGCGGTGTCGGGCGGACGGGGCCATGCGTCACCGGCGGCGGCGGCGGTGGCGGTGCGATGGCCGGTGCAGGCGCCGGGGGGTCTTCTGGATTTTCGGGAGAGATTTTTTTTTGAATGGACGTGAGTGTGTGGGGTTATTTGGCAGCGGAAGCGGTCGTAAAAAGCGCAAGGTTGATGGAGCTTGACACCCTTTGAAGATCGGATTTTCTTCCTGAGTGGGGGTGCTGGAGCGGTCATAAATTTTCGATATGGGGAGTTCAGTAATCCTCATGTTTTTCAGTTGAGTTTGTTTGTAAACGAGGAAGACGTACAAGTTAATCTTGTATTTACAGCACTTGAGATTAGTTTTTCGAGAGCAACTGGTGAGCGACCGCGACAGGAAAATATTGTGGTTTTGTAACATTTTATGCCTTGCATTTTGGGTGTATGACTGTAACTGACCAAAATTTGTTCTTTTTCTACCTCTCACTTACGGTTTCGCAATCCACTTCTGTGTATTTTAACATTCGCGTACAAGTTGCAATAAAATAAAACTACAATAAGAGTAAGTCTGATTCAACTATTGCGTTTATCTCCTCCAGATAGTTGACGAAGTTACAAAAAATTATAAAAAATTCTTTCTTAAAAATTGATTACCTAGGATGTTGTCAAGAAAATCGTGTGTGAAGGTATTTGTATTATCGATTATTGATTGTATAAATCGACTAAAATTATCAAGCAGATGTTTAGTACATATACAGGGTGTCAATACATGATTGATACCTCCAGCAGTCATTGGAAAATTTATTTCTTTTAAATTAAAGAATTTTGCCGTTTGTAAGAAAAGATGTTCACTTACATAGGGTACACATCTTTCAAATTTACATAGATTAGATAATGTGTTTATCTCCCCCAAAAAGTTGATCACGTCGTTTCAAGAAGATATTAAATAAATGTTTAGTGCTTGGGTTTCGTTATGTACTGTTATTTTTTAGAAATTCTTATATACGTAGAATGTCTCAGAAATCTTATACAGGATGATTCAAAAATGGCGCATCTCTATGTATATTGTTAAGGACTGTTTACTGAAAATGGAAAAATAATTTTAAAACTCCTTGGGCCCAATTAATTTAATTTTGGAAGTATCATTGTCTTTATCCCTAGTTTTAATCATTTTATAATTTACAGAACTTAATAACTTAAACATTGTTCAAAGTAAATCTGACAACAATTTAGCCAGTCGCTTTTCACCTTTTTAACCTATCTACCTAAATCGTTATTATAATTTTAATTAATGATTTTTTTTTAATTTTGTGAACTTAATGTACCTAGTATGCCATTTTTGAATCACCCTGTATAAAGTTCAGGCCATTCTATTATCCATTCTCCAACGTAAATTTTCGAAAATTGCTAGATATAAGGTATTTTTTGGACTTTAGAAGAAAAAATGAAGGAAAACTTGAATCTCATATTTCTTAAATGTCAAAAAACTCGAACGTCAAAATGAAATATCAATAAAACGTCAAATCCCGTGGCTGTCAAACCATATTGCACAAAAGACCCAAGCAAGGCAGTGTAACCAACCTTACTTTTTATCAAGTGGACAGTGTTGATCCAGGAACGGTTCCAGTAATTTTTCTGAAATTCTGAAATTTTTTTAACAGTACATCACCCATATTAAACAATTATATATATTTTTTAATACACGTAGAGTGTTGGTTGCGTATGAAATGGAGGTAAGTTTGAGGCAAATGACTTTCTAGATTTTTTGATAACACCATATTTAAAGGGATTGTGGAAAAAAAGTGGCGGATTTAAGTTGATTGCTATAAAAATTTACCATTTTAGATATGTTTTAAGTTTCTTGTTGTCGAAATAAGTATACACATATTAAGAAAAAAAAAGTAAAATGTGGCCCCGCCCACCCGCCCTATCTCAATTTTGATGCTTTTTTTATTCGTCATCAACCTAGGGGGCGGAGCTTAACTACAAAATCCATATTTTTCTAGAAAAAAATACCATTTTAAAGGTGTTTTAAGTTTCTAAAAATAAAAAAATCACCACAATTGAGAGAGGGTGGGCGGGCGGGGAATATCTTTTGTTTTTTTTTTTTTTCTTAAGATATATAGTACCTATCCTTTGAACAAAAACAAAACATGTTTTTAATTTCTTGTAAAGAAATAAGTATTTTTGCTGTTAAGCTCTGCCCCCTTGGTTCATGGCGAATAAAAAAAAATCATCACAATTGAGATAGGGCGGGTGGGCGGGCTTACATTTTGCCTTTTTTGTTTTAATATGTGTAGACTTCTTTTCACAACATGAAACTTAAAACATGTTTAAAATGGGAAATTTGTAAAAGGAAATATCAATTTTACAATTAAGCTCCGCCTCATAATTGCAAAATCCTTATTTCCTTGCAAAAATATACCATGTTTTAAGTTTCTTGTTGTGAAAAGATGACTATATATATTAAGAAAAAAAAAAAGGCAAAATATAAGGCCCGCCCACCCGCCCGATCTCAATTCTGAAGATTTTTTTTATTCGTCGTGAGCCAAGGGGGCGAAGCTTAACTGCAAAATCCTTATTCCTATACGAGAAAATATTTTAGTATCGTGTTGTTCGAAGGATACTATGCATTTTAAGAAAAAAAAAAGCCGAAGACTAAGCCCCGCCCATACCTATTCTGATCTAAATAGTAATGAAGTTTTCATTCGCTGGCAGACCTAGGGGCGGGACCTACAAAAATTTACCATTTTAAACGTGTTTTAAGTTTCTAAGAATAAAAAAATATTACAATTGATATGAGGTGGGTGGGCGGGGCATATATTTTACCTTTTTTTAAATATATGTATATAGTATTCTTGGAACAACACGATACTCAAAAACATGTATGTATTTAATTTCTTCTAAAGAAATAAGTACTTTGCAGTTAACCTCCGCCCCCTTGGTTAACGGTGAATAAAAAAAATCATTACAATTGAAACAGGGCGGGTGGGCGGGCTTACATTTTGTCTTTTTTGTTTTAATATGTGTAGACTTCTTTTCATAACATGAAACTTAAACATGTTTAAAATGGAAAATTTGTAAAAAGAAATATCGATTTTGCAATTAGGCTCCGCCCCATAATTACAAAATCCATACATATTTCCTTGCAAAAATGTACCATTTTAACCATGTTTTAAGTTTCTTGTTATGAAAAGATGGCTATGTACATTAAGAAAAAGAAGGCAAAATATAAGCCCCACCCACCCGCCGTATCTCAATTCTTATGATTTTTTTTATCATATTCATAGTAAAATCCTTATTTTTCTACGAGAAATTACCATGTAAAATGTGTTTTTAAGTAATCGTGTTTATACAAAGAAAACAAATGTACCTATTAATTAAAAAAGAAAACTAAAATAGAAGCCCCACCCATCCGTCTCGATCTCAATCCTGATGAATTTTTCATTCGTTGTCAGACCGAGGGGCAGAGCGTAATTGCAAAATCGATATTTCCCTATACAAATTTACCATTTTAAACATGTTACAAGTTTCTTGTTGTGAAAAGATGACTACACATATTAAGAAAAAAAGGCAAAATGTAAGCCCCGCCCACCCGCCCTGTCTCAATTGTGATGATTTTCTTATTCGTCGTGAGCCAAGGGGGCGGATCTTAATTGCAAAATCCTTATTTCTCTTCAAGAAATAAAAACATGTTTTTAGTATCATATTGTTCAAAGAATACTATGTAAGAAAAAAACAAGCCAAAATTAACATATCCATCCTAAGCTCAATTGTGATGAATTTTGTATTCGTTGTCAAAGAGAGGGAAGGAGCGTAATTGCAAAATCGATACTTTCCTACAAAAATTTACCACTTGAAGAAGAATTTACGTTAGTTTTCGGTCACTCACTTCTGTCATTTATGGAGAATTTTAACTTTCTAAAAAAGCAGTTTTTCTACTTTTGTGGTTATTAGTCTGACAGTCCTTTGGGGGTGGCTCTTTGCCCACTATTGAAATCAATATTTTTCATTCATACTTTTTTCTGAATAATTTTGGCATTGAATAGTTTTTTATAATCACATATTACACGGTTTTTTGTTACCTAAATATTTAACTGAAACAGTTCTTGAAAAATCTCGTAGTCCAGATTAATAAAACTGTGTATGTAAATGATAGATTTATAATAATGACTGAACTTCAATACTGAGTGACTGTTAATGTTGGTATTTTTTTTTGACAGGTTGACAACATACTTAAAATTTTATCGTGGCACATCTGATGTCAAATTCAAATTCTGGGCATCAATTCAGTAGCTACCATTTTCTCATGTCAATCTTAACACTGTTGCCAGTAATTCAGAGCTGCCAACCCAAAAAAATGTACTTCATTCGTACATTTCATGTTAAACGCTGCAGTTATTGAGCTTTGTTGAGGGGAAACTCTTTTTAAAAATCAGTTTTAGAAACCGATTAGATTAGCGCGAGGTTTCACATTTCAAACATGCAAATAATCGTTTCCATATCTCAAACCAAAGTAAGCTTTCCACTTGTGCTCTAAAAATAAAAATATTCTTCTTACCTTATCAAAAAACTTCTGACACAATTTAAACTCTAGGGTCATATACTTGCTATTTTTATTTTTGGTTGCAATTAAAATCGCCGAAATGAACGTAGTTTCCAGTTCTAGAACGAGTTTTTTAAAAAAAGTTATGACACGTAAAGTTTGTGGTTTGTGCATAATTTTAAAACAAAGTCATTCTGATAATAATAGATCTTATGCATAACTTATTCATCACATTAGTAAGGAAGAAACCCCAACTCAGATCTAGGCAAATTTCATATACAGGGTGTTTCACCGCAAGTGACCACACAAATAACTTCAAAAGTAAATACCTCCAATAATCTCCATAGAAAATAAATAATGTGATAGAGGATCTCCAATGCAATTGGATTATCTTTAGCCAAAATAAATTCTACCAGTTTTTAGTATCATAAATAACCATTCATTTAAAGTTAATCAATAATTCAT